TTAGTAGTGATAAAATCAGTGGCAATTTTATTAGGTACTTGCTCTGATGTATTAACATTTACCACAATCTGATTATCCAATGTTTAGTGAAAACGATTGTAATATTTGAATGCCATTATTTCCAACCAACATTTAGCACATTATCTATTTCATTTCTTTCTTGATTTTGTACGTTCCCAATGCTAACAGGTTTTGATAAATTTTTTTTTTTAAATATGTAAAACATTGTATGGTTTTTTTTTTGTTAAGGGTGAAAAAAAGATGACTGATGTTTGAATGGTTAAAAAGCCAAACTTTTATTGTTTTCATTCAATTACTGTAAAATACTTTATAGCTGGAATTAATTTTCGCTAAAAAGAGTTTTAGGTGTTTTGTATGGAATTTATTTTCACCGATTTCTGATCAGTTGAATGTAAAATATAGGAAAAACGGTATTTTCACTGAATCATTTCTTCAGCGAAAATGAAGTATTTTACAGTAGAACAAAATATTTGGTACTGTCAGGGAGTTAAATTGATATTACAATTGACCGGCTGTTATTTAGAATTGGTTGATAATCCACAGCTTTGGTGTATATACTTTCTATACAATGTTTTTCTTTTGAAATAGGCAACAGAAGTAACAGAATATACGACCATTTTGGCCTGCTGTTGGCTTTCAATAAACACCCTGACTTGGCCCATGTGGTTAAATGCTATACAGCTCAAGAATGCTCAGAAGAAGGATCAGTTTAAATCCTGTCTACAAAAACTGTTTTTAATTACGGTAACGAACACATTTTATGTTATTACATTAAAACGCTAAAACTTTGGTGAAGAGAAATTGTATAGAATTTCCAGAGTGAAGAAAAAAATTGTAAAAATATGATAATATTACTCTGGCTTACTAAACAGTCAACACCCAGAGACAATTGAATAAATAAATACAAGTACATAGACATTAATGCGTGTAATTAATTAAGTCCCAGGAGAACACCCTCTGAACTGAAAGCATGATAATTTACAGTGTTTTTTCAATTGGTTTGTTTTTACCGGGGAAAGACAATAATATGCAACTTCAGACGGTATTATTCAGTCAATCTGAAGTGATTCATACTCACCGCCAAACTTAGAGCGAAGATAAGACAAGGGAGACTGATCACTGCAACAGTTACCCATATCAGGTAGCAGAAAACAATTTACACAATCCAATGCACAGAGCATCAAGGCCGAAAACACACTCGAGTATTCTCAGCATTCACTTGAACACAGTTGAAAGTCAATAAACTTTAAAACCACACTAGAACACTCCGTAACTAACTGCCACCTCACAGCAAATGAGATGCTCTTACTTTGCATAATTAGAAAGAGAGATCAAATGGATGTTTCCGGAATTTTAATATTACGGAACTCCCCTGAAAGAAAATGAAGAGATATGAATATATTCACCGTGATATTTTCCTCCCTTGTTCCTTTTGATGATGCAGATAATAAGAAGTATAATAAGCAGGAAGACGATAACACACATCAATCCAATAAACCAGCCTTCTGTCACGAAGGAAGATTCAGTCGCAAGGGCACCTGCAAAATAAATTAACGGGAAATTAATTTTTATAATAAACTGACCCAAGTGTTAATCTGTTTAAAATCCTAGCAGATGATGACATAATTCAATGTTTATGTGCAAAAGTAAGTCTACATAGCTAATATCAGTAATTTAAGCCAGTTTTGAGGAATTATTTAATTTCCTATATACTGTATTGCTTCATTACTTTACTTAATCTGTATTGAGGCCATAGAATGACTCAGTGTAATTAGTTTTACTTCTGAAATAAAAAAATATACAATATGTGTATACTGTTTAATAATTTAGAGCCACTGCAGAATTTTTTATCAGTGAATATTTAATTGGGATCTTCAAAACAGCAAGTCACAGAGACAGTTACCCCTCGACAAAATTATCATATTAGAGACTTGTATAGTATATCGACTACAAGGTTTAAGTCAGTGACTTGTACAAGCATGTTATATGCATTTAAATCACTGACTTATTTTTTATTGCAGTGACCAAGTCATTTCAGCAAGGTGACAGGAGGCCATGAACCCATACACATGGAGTTATAAAAGGCAAGCAGTGTTTAACACGCATTTTTTGTTGCGTGTTAATACAATAGCACTTGAATAACGAGGACATGCATTATTTAACAATGACATACTTGATAAATGAATAAATTCATGATATTCGCCACATGTAGTCCATGTACCAAAGCATGCGACTTTCTGAAGAATGCAGGCATGTACGTGGCATAGGCATGTTTGTATTGTTGTTATCCCCAGGGGGGGATATGACAAAAGTACGGCAATCTGAGAATAGGTCTAAATAAGAAAACACGACTTTTACCTGCACCAGCTGTGGTAACCACACTGACTGGGCCATCAGCATCACCCATACTGTTGACTGCTCTAACTCTAACGTCGTAAGTTGTACCGCTGTCTAAATCTTCAATAACCAGATAATTTTTATCCATAGGATCCACTTTACCAGCCAGTATCCATTCTTCTGATCCTAAAATAACAACATATTGACATGAAGACAACCTGTTGATATTATCAAAGTATGTCGGTAGGGAGGGAAAGCGATAGTTAACCAAACTACTGGCAACAAAAATGCTGGCTGTAGAAAGGGAACCTCCCTGTGCATGAAAAGACCAGTACACAAAAGGTCAGGGATTGAAAGCACTCTGGCATAACTAATTAGCATGTGACAATAGAGGTTCAGTGTCCAGGCTTTGTACGTGACTAACAACAATTCACATATCACCGCATCGGTCTGTTAACACCTGATACATGTA